ACACACACAGACAGAAACACACAGACGGAGGCATGTAGGCAGGCGTGTGCACCCAGTCATACACAAAGAGACTGAGAGATAGGCAGAGATACAGAGAGATAGAGAGTCAGAGAGAGACGCGTGCACATGCACGCGTAACACAAGCAGTCACAGCAAAAACCAACAAATAAACATACCGACACACATCTGCAAGGACACACAGACACACATGCAAACCAAAACTTAGACGCGCACATGCATGGAGCCACATACTTACATAGAGACACATGCACACGCTCTGATGTATTCCTCTCTGTCTTCTGCCTTCTGTTCCTTACTAAGGTTTTTTTCCCTCCCTCCTGTCGACCGCCGAGACGCGACTGCCTCGGGAGAGAATCTCTTTCTGATGCGCAGGAAGCATTTCACCACGTCGACGGACATGGCCTTCTGCTTGGCTTTGGAAAGCCACGCAGCCACATCTTCGTGGGTGGCAGGCCGCGAAGGAGTTCCGAGTGCCTCCGCCACTTCAGCCACGCCGAGGACCAAATTAAATCCGACCAGGAGCCTTTCATCGGCGAGGACGGCGGTTGTAGAGTCCAACTCCCATCTTTTCCGCTGGGCCGAGGTCGAGTCCGGGCAGAGGACGAAGTACACCGGCAGCGTCCTCAGCAAGCAAGTGCAGTCCTTCACCATGGAGGCATCAGCATCTCCACCACGCTGCTTCATCACCATCATGATGGCATACTTCACCGCTTGAATCGTGACCTCATGCCTTGGTGGCAAGCCAGCTTGCTTGAAACAGGGAAAGCAAGACTCTGCACAGGGATCCGAGCCAGAAACTTACCCGCCGAGAAACCCAAGCATCTCCACATATCCCCTCACCGGCGGTGTCGAGGCCGAGGTCGCCCTGACCTGAACAGACGCTCGCTCGAAAACGTTCAATGGCACCCCACTACACTTGTTCAGCCTAGCAGCTGGTATCGGGGCCGGCCAAAACCGTGGCAATGACCATTCGTCGGCGC